TTTAAATTTAACACTTGAGGACATGGTACTTGGGATACGCTGGGCCCTGAAGGATTCATCTGTTGCATCCTCCAAATTCTGGTAAAGAAGGCTGCATTTCTCGGCCGCATTTGAAGGAGTCGTCGAAATGGGACGGCCTTGGTCGCGCCAATCAGTCTTCAAATGCAACCTGCGAAGGCTGCAGCCCCTGAATTGAGACACAGTTTATCTCTGTAGGAATCCTTTCCATAACGTCCATAAGGACTTGTGTTGGGAACCAGACAGTTGCCGTTTCAAGTCCTTGTACGGATCAAGTATGGAGCATGGACTGGTAGCTGGAGAGGTGCTTGGTTAGTGGACGCACATTGACGTTGCACAATTGCCCTTTAAGTTTACACTGTTTTGTGGCTGCTGGCTACAGTCCACTCGCATAGGCACACATGAGCGAATGCAGGCAAGTGACTATTGCCTGCCAAGGTGATATTCGTGCTGAATGTGGGCAGTGCTTGATGTGACGGACAGAGAAAGACAGCTTGTTAGCTGATGTAAACTAGCTTGCTAAAAAAATACAGAGACATTTTACATTTTTTTATGTTCCATGTCTGTCTCCAGACTCAGTTTGTATTCATGGCCAGTATCGTACAGTATCAGCTGGTTAGACATGGCAACAATCACTCTCCCAATCCCAAATGGATCCCTTACAGACTCTTTGACTCAAGCCCTAAGCTCTTACAGACCTAGGACCATTTCCATTTCTTCCCCTTAGCCCTTGTCTTGGCCCTTCCCATTGGTTTTGCGCGTTCAAGTGAGGGGAAGTGGTGTCCCAATTCTTCATCAGGTTAAGAGCTAACCTGACGGAGCTGTAAGGGATTGGGGGAATGTCTCCTCCACAAATAATCCTTTGGTATTGGTTGAGGCTGCCAATTTGCCAGTCAGTGAAGCGAATGTTTTATTTGCTCCTCTGCTGGCATTGAATTGAACGGGAGACGAATATTTGCCAGTGTTAATTTCACTCATGTGTGACCTCATCCTAATACTGGACCAGTTTCAAAACTTGTTGTTCCATGAAAACATAGTGTCCAGGTTGAAAAATAGTGAACTGACCCTTTAAGGGAGCAGTGTGCATGCAAGTGTTTGCTCCTTTACTTGACTCTTTTCTGACCATTTTTGAATGCATGCAACAGATTTCTAGATTTATGGATGTTTTTCCCAATCATTCAGTTTCCATTCATTTCCCTGTGACATGAAAATCAATTGGCAGACTCTTAAAACTTGTTTGAGTGGTGTAATCCATCACAGTGAGCATCAAGTCTATTTTTGTCAATTACATCGTCATTGCTTGGTAATGTTGGCAGTTTAATGGCAAATTGATTAGAAAAGTCTGTCCTGCTTTACCCTGCCACATCTTTTAATACTTAAATCTATTAAAAATATTTTTTAGGTCAATAACAACAAAAGAAAACAACAACAGTTTCCAGGCACCGTAACATCCACATTGCAAACATTAAACGTTATGGTCCCCAAGTCTTTATGCAGTGCTGCATAATTTGTGTATGACTGGTAAAGCATGCAACAAAAAGAAAAAGATGAATTAAATGGAAATGAGTAAAAGAAAGAGAGGCAGACCAGCTAACATATTACCCATTATCCAAGTCAGTTTTTCCATCTTATCTGCTGAGATAGCTCAAACAAGCGCCAAGAGTCTCTCAATAGATTTTCATATTGTCTGGAAGTGGTCAGCAGTCATGCAAAGTTTATTTGCTTTGTTTTAAATGGGCTAAGATGCTACTTGTTCAGTCTGTTTAGCATCACAACTTCTTAAATATATACTCCTTTTATTTCGCAGGCCTGCGCTGCAGGATCTCGTGATTTCAGAGAGAAGCAGTGCGCCGACTTTGACAGCATGCCTTTCCGTGGGAAGTACTACAACTGGAAGCCTTACACTGGTGGTGAGTTCAGGACTGGGTCGCACCATTAAAGCCTCTGACAACTTGGTTCCAAATCCATCAGATATTTATTACAAATTAAGCAACTACGTTTGGGTGGAAAATGATCCTTCAGTATTATTTATTAAGAGTTTAATCCTGTAAAGCTCATTTAATGTGTTTCATGAGGACTGTGTGGGTGTGGTTTTATTAGTTCTGATTGACAGGCAAAAAACCCACAACCGTCATCACATTTTGATTCAGATGTTGCTAAATGCAGAAATCTTCCATGTTTCATAGCCAAAAGTTTTAATTTTGGCTATGTAACATGTGTTCATATAGGTTTCCCTAGCTCCTAGGACGTGGATCAGAAAATCAAATGTTTTCAGGGCCTTTATTATGTCCGTGTAAAGTCCCTCCTAAGTTCTCAGTAACTACTAAATAGTTTTAAATAAAATTCAAGTAATATGTTAGCTACAACAGACTTAAGTAAAATAAATATTGGTAGCATTATAGAGACATCTCTCTCACAAAAGCAGTCAACTATGGAAACAGGGAGTCTGTGTAGCTGAAGTCTCGCCACCAGACAATCAGAGATCTCCGCCTTCTGATAGTCTGGGGACACTCCTTTCTAAAGTGTGTTTAACACGCCGGAGAAAACGGCCGGCAACAAAGCAACGCCTCTTGCATTTTTTAAAAGGACACGCCCTCCCGGAAATGTGCGCTCCCCCTTTTCTCGTCCGCAAGGAAACAAACACACAGAGAGCTTGAAAATGGATGCCGAGAGATTAAACTCTGTTTTATCAAACGTGTGCTCAGTCCACAAGATTGTGGAAATGAAGGACTTACAGCGACTTTGTTTAAAACTTTTAACACAGTCGGACTATGTTTACGAGCACAAGAGTTCAGCGAGCCACCAAAGGACCGCCCTGCGGATTTACTATTGGTTCTGCAACGTAGGGAGTTTTTTTAAACTGTATCCGCCCATCTAAACACAAAATCAGGGAGAAAGACATCAGTCTTTAGTTAAGCAAAGCATCTAAAGACTGACTTGTGAGTCTAGTGTAGCTGTAACATAGAAGGTTTGGGGGCAGATATATATATGAAATTTATTTTCTTGTAAATATAGATATTGGCCCACTTTGATCTAAAAATGTTGCAGTATTTTTGCAGTTTAGATCCAGTTATGCTAATGTAACTGACACTGTTGAGGTAATCATTTAGCTTTATGTCATTAGCATGACATTTTCTAGTTTGAGGTATAATGTGTTAATCTTTCTAATCGTCCAAATTTACATCACTTTTAAACACTTTGATGTATCAGTCATATTTTATTTGAAGTCTTTTACTCCTCAATCTAAATTGGTTTCATGCTAGCAAGCTAATGTTTAGCTAGTTCAGTCACACCTGGCAGTAACAATTAATCCCCGTGTAAGATCTCGTCTGTAGGGTTGGTCCGGTGTACAAATTTTAAAACCAGTTTGATATTAAGAGTCGGACGGGACCGGTATACCAAATTTTAATCAGGTGTCAGACTTGGCTTAGCAGTCGCTCCTAAGTGGACCATAATGACTCCATGTCCCTACGGTGTCTCCTTGGTGATATTTCTTCAGCCAGCTGCCACTTTATTTCGGTTTTTATGGTGAAATAGGAACATTTTGTATAGATTTCTCATTTCAACTTCATAAATCGGCCATTCCTCATCCATTGCAGCATCCAGCTACACTTAAGAATTATTTCTAAATGGCAGCAGTGCATCGCACCTCTTGTCGTCTTCAAATCCAAAATGTTGCTATAGTGGTACCTATTAACTCTAACATGTCTCCTCGCGTTGCCACAAAAAGCACGTTAGCCTACAAGTAAACAAACACAACACGTGCACTCTGCCCTCTCCCATCTTTATTCGATCTCATTCATGTTGTTGGTGCACGGCTCACAACAACATGAATGAGATCATGTTGTTGTTGGTGCACGGCTCACAATCTGTCAGACACCAGAGGCTACATTTGTCGGTTCTTAAACAAACATAATATTACGTTAATCACTTTGTCATACTCCTTATTACTAATGCAATTCAAGTTGGATTTAGCGCTGTGATGCCATTGGCACAGGTCAATGATGGAGGCTACGTTTTAATTTGCCACAAAAGTCATAACGACATATGCTGGTTAAAGGGATAGTGCACCCAAAAATGAAAATTCAGCCATTATCTACTCACCCATATGCCGAGGGAGGCTCAGGTGAAGTTTTAGAGTCCTCACATCACTTGCAGAGATCCAAGGGGAGAGGAGGTAGCAACACAACTCCACCTAATGGAGGCTGACGGCGCCCCAGATTCAAACGTCCAAAAACACATAATTGAAACCACAAAATATCTCCATACTGCTCGTCCGTAGTGATCCAAGTGTCCTGAAGCCCCGACATAAAAAGTTGTTTGGAAAAACGTCATTTGAACTCTGTTTTTAGCCTCATTGTAGCCTGTAGCTCTGACTGCCTCTCTGTGCACCGTGTTCACGTGTGCGCGCTTGGATCACTACGGACGAGCAGTATGGCGATATTTTGTGGTTTCAGTTATGTGTTTTTGGACGTTTGAATCTGGGGCGCCGTCAGCCTCCATTAGGTGGAGTTGTGTTGCTACCTCCTCTCCCCTTGGATCTCCGCAAGTGATGTGAGGACTCTAAAACTTCACCTGAGCCTCCCTCGGCATATGGGTGAGTAGATAATGGCTGAATTTTCATCTTTGGGTGCACTATCACTTTAAGCTGGTTTGCATAAAATCAATCCAGTTCAAGCTTGTACACTGGGCCAGACTGGCAAAACCGGAAATCAACCCAACTCTACTAGACTAGATTTAATTTAGTGCCTACTCACAACATCTTCCATATAACTAGGCTGAGGTTAAACAGCCAAAGAGCTGAAGCATCCAGCTGCAGAACACTTCATGCATCCAGTCTCTGCGTCTTCCAAATGCTGAGCTGTAAAACTCTTCCTGTCATCCTCTTTGCGTCACAAGTGACAGTCTGCAGGCTGGCCTGTCTTGTGTACCCAGTTAACACCAACAGTGAGAAGGTCTCTTTGATGAGTGGAGGATTCTTCAGATTCCTGTACACTGTGCTGTGCTCCAAGACCCTCGCTGGTTTTCTGGATCTGCGGCTCATCCAACCTGGGAGACTTTCACATTTTGGGCAGACATCCTGACACAGTTCATGTCAAGAATCTCCAGACGAAGCACTCGTTCCTTGGACTGTGCTAGAATAGGTGCAAATGCCATTGTACTACCACAACTATTGGCTGGAGTTTAGGAGTGCATTCTTTGTGTCACTCTCCCCCAAAGTTCTCCCCTTGATGTCTGTACATCATGGAAAATCTCCACTTCACAAGGAACACAAGAAGAAGTGATAAAAGTGTGAAGCATGTAAACATGACTTTTATTTTCTCTCACAGTTGGAAGAGCTTAAGTGAGATCTCTTTTATCACAGGGGTCTGTTTTGTCAAATCCATCGCCTCCTGATTTACCGCACTCTGTGGGCTGCAAGCTGTCATGTATAAACAGCAGATAACCTGCGTGTTGATGTCAGCATAATTGTTGTTGGCAGCCGACGCTGTCTCTGTCGGTGTCAGTGTTACGGTGACGTGAGGTTTTAGATCTGAGCGCCGCTGACTTTCCTCCACATGGTTATTATTGTCAACAAGTCGACAGGACATCCCAGAGCTGTGTTGTTTGTCATGTGTTTATCTTTGAGTTCAGGTCATGTTGTGTGTTTCTGTGTGTAGGCTGGACTCTAGATAACCATGTGCTGCGTCTGTGTGTGCTCTGTGTAACCCAGGTGGTGTTAAACCCTGTGCACTGAACTGCCTGGCAGAGGGCTATAACTTCTACACAGAGCGCTCACCTGCAGTCATAGATGGCACCCGGTGTCAGGCTGACTCTCTGGACATCTGCATCAATGGAGAGTGTAAGGTAAGGGAGACATGCTTCGTCGTGTTTGGAGGCCTGAATCCACATGATTTCAATTTCTCTTTTATTTAAGTCTTAAAGGAAAACTATAGATTATTGCAACTAAGGTTTTTTTCATATTATTTCTATACATCTGATGCTGGAGTTCTGAAAATAAAAGTTTTAAACCGCCTATCATTTTCCCCAATTAATCATTTTGTCAATAAAATGTCAGAAAACAGGTGAAACATGTGGTGTTGTTTCCCAGAGCCTGATGTGACACCTTCATATGGATGGTTTTATCCAACCAACAGTCTAAAAAATTCAAAGCAAGTCTGTTTATTATTATTTGTGACAAAGAAAAACATAAAATTCTCAAATTTATGAAGCATGAAACTGGCAAATGTTAGATTTTTTGCTTAGAAAATTACTAAAACGGTTATTTTCATTATCTAAATAGATCTAAATAAATTTTCTGTGGATGGACTAATTGTTGCAGCTCTACTATAATAAACTGTAGTTTTCTTTTAACTACCATTCTGCCAACGTTAGCACAAAAAGCTAGGAGCTCATTAATGATGTTTTAGTTTATAAAGTATGACTTTGAACATGTTTAAACACCAGTGACAGTAAAGTTTAAATTGTATTTGACAGGGAAATCTTAACTGAAGGTCACTGACTGGCTTTTTTAGGGCTTTAAACCTCATGTCACAGCAGATGGAGGTATTATAAATGGATGGATATAGCACCTGTTGTCATGTGATCAAAAGTTCCACACCCAGGTCACATCTTGGCCAATCTCAGAACCCATCGCTCTGACGACAATCAGCCTCTAGCAGCCAGTATGTCATGAGATCCGGTGTAGCCAGTGGATATCTGAGCCAAGAGTTCCTCCTCCATGTGCCAGTCATGTAGCCTGGAAATCCAGACCCAAATCTAGAAAGATTTAGGGTCTGGCCATGAGTAATGAAAATGGCCCAACTCGAGGGGCGGCACCAGGCATGCATTTGAAAATATCACTGCATGCAATTGGATAACACCACGACCAATTAGAACAGTACTGGGGGTGACGTATCCAGAGCTTAGCTACCAGCGGAGCTAACTGGTAGATTAGACTCTTGCCGTATCCGGTCGGCAAAACAGCAAAAACGTCCTTCTTGCAAAGGAAAGACTCGAGCGCCGTCTTCTGTTCCTCTTTTAGAGAAAAAGCCAAGTCTAACTCGTTCATTGTAGCGGCCAAAGCCGTTTCAAACAACTGGTGTTCATCCGTAGCCATCTTGCAATGTTTACTGACTGATTCCGGACTTCGTCGTCGCAGCGCTGTCATCATCTGTTTAGCTCACCTCTGGCCCGCCTATATCAGTTACACCGATGTGATTGGTGCAGCTCGGCTCCAACGGCATGGGTAATGAGCATCATTACTGATTGCCCGAGTGACTCGCTGAGCAAATTCAAATTGTACTCTCGTGAGAACTCTGGATTTCCAGGGTACCTGTCATGCAGATAAATGCTAAAAATGCTACTACAAGGCGAAATCGTCATCAGACAAAGCCGATGGGTTACACATTTTGGCTAACATGTACTGTTTACATGTCGCTCAAACCCGTTTGGTCAATACTATTCAGATTACTACTCAGATCAGAAACTAGAAAGCTTACATTACCAAAATCTGGTGCCGTCATATGCAGATGTCTGTTTACAGAGATTACACAATGACAACTGAGTCAATGTCACTTGCTGAAGAAGGCTGTAAGATCTGGTTGAAAGCTCTGGAAAGAGCTAGAAAGAGAAACCTTGAGTTAAGATGTTTCTTCATTGTTTAAGACTGGCCAAAACTTTTATTTTGTTTAGTTTTAATTCTATATTTACAGCTTTTCAGACAAGGGATGATTATTTTTTACTTGAAAAAACTTCTTAAAAAAGGTTAACAGTTACGAATCTCATAAAAAAAATAACAATGAAGATAAACAAAAGCCACTGAAAACATTTTCTACTGTAGGAATTTATTATTTCCATGTCCCCCTGCTTGATTAATGCAAGGGTGCTCAAAGTTGTAATGACTGAAGGCTTGGACATACTGTCCACATTGAACGTCAAACAGCTGCAGACACGTGGATGCGTGCGCGTTTTTATTCATAGTACAGTTGAGGGTCTGTGTCAGCCCCCGGCAGTGAACGGGAGAGCTGCAAGCTGAGCCAGCTGTCCTCCTACTGCCAATGTCGGGTGAAACGGCTGGGTCTGAAGTGAATGTCAGTCATATATCCAGCTTAAAACTAACTTCGCAGTGGTGCAGCAAGCTTGCCTACAGTGTTTCGGTCCCAGAAAAATGGGCTGCACGCAGACGCCCGCTTTGGGGTCAGTGGGAACCCTCAGGGACAATGGTGGATGACGAGTTTGATGTCACATCGACTGATCAACCTAGTGGACACAGAAACTGTGAATTGGTCTTTCGGGAGCCAGAGTATGATTAAGGATGGACACAAGAAGAGTTCCCACACAAAACTAAATATTTTCACCATCTCCAACTCACATTTAATTGCTGAGTTGTCCATCAAAGTCGCTAACTTTAGCTAACAGCACTAGCATTTCTCCTAGTTGTCCTTCCTAACCTGGCAGATGCTTGTTAGGGGGGCAAGTTTTGACACAGTAGTAGTGTACTATATGTAAGCGATTAAAAGTGAAAGCATTGAAATATAATATAATGGATGAATTTTATGTCACATTCGGGGGCCACACAAAATGCTTCTGAGAGCCGCCATCGGCCCACAGGCCGCACTTTAGGAAACTTTGAATTAAGGCAAAATTTGCAGAATCTGGCTCTGTGCCAAACTGAATCAAGTATTATGAGCATTAATCATGTCTGCTGCAGTACAAACATCATGCATCTCCTGCTGTGAAATACTATAATGACACATCACACTATGACATTACCCTCAGTGGGCTTTTGTGACTGTGACTGTTAACTCCTGATGTAATTAACCTGGTATATATGAGAGTGACATGTCAGCTGTGTATTAAATGACCCTAGTAAGAGTTTCCTCAGCCTCAGCGCCAGTATTTATCTCTGACAGCACAGTTTAGTAGCTCGCTGATTGCGTAAACACGACTGCCAGAGCACAAAACCGCACACAAAACCGATTCTGCAGTGAAAAACAATCGAGCCTTTGAGTTGCTGATTGTGGCTCATTGTGACTGAATGACTGGCGTTGCTCTCTGCGACTCTTATCAGGGCTCTGCAGCCTCCACTGGGATTGTTTGGTGATAAATAAAACACAAAAATCATTGTTGTGATTGAATAATGATTTGATATATATTTGAAAGGGCTGATTTAATAACATCTTATTGAAAGGAGTTGGCAGTTGGTGCTGTCTTTGTTTTCACCAGCATGAATCATTTTGTACAGTTTGTGTGGAGATGAGGGTTTGTGTGTGTTTTCTGAGATGCAGCTGAAATAACGTCTTGGTTCCTCGCTTTAAGTATTTGCTTTGACTTCCACCTGACCGTACGATTTGATTCCTGCCTGGCATGAAAGAGCAGCGACTGTGCCAACAACATTACTCCGATTTTAATATAAAAACACAACATGGTGCGTGTTTTATTGGGAGGAGAGTTTCTGAGAGGTGGAATATTCCCCACCAACGGAGCCTTGCAGGTTTATTTCCAGTCTGAATCCAGCGTGTCGGTTTTATTCCAGAGGTGGGCTCTCTGGGTTCACTGCCACACCGCGATAAATCTCTAGAACACTGTCTGCTTGGAAAGCGTTCAGAAACACTGAGAGCTGCGATGCTGTTAACAGGTGCTGGAGAGACGGAGACAGAGAGAGAAAGATGATGAATAACAGAGAGGGAGGTGGTGATAGAGGGGAGAAAGAAGCTGGGAGATCCAGAGGAGGAGTGGAACAGTGATCCTCCCTGTTGTATTGTCACACAGTCTTACACACAACTGATGAAGCTGTTATCAAACTGATTAAAGACTGGAACTGTTTCCAAAATCACTCCTGATTTACTATGTAGAGCTGTCTGCTATGTTACTGTATATATAGTGTAGGACTGCACCAAACATGTATATTAACCGTCAGATCATTTTCTCCATTCATTTCTGGTCCATAAAATGTTAGAAAATAGTGAAAATGGCCTTTAAATTCCAAAAATATTCAGTTTAAAGTGTTATAAAACAGAGAAAACTAGCAAATTCTTGCACTGGAGGAGCTGCAGGCACAGAATTTGGGGTATTTTTGCTTAGAAAAATGGCTTAAAATATTAATTTGATATCAGAATAGTTGCTGTTTATGCCTTTTTAATAATAAGCATAAAGCATTTTATATATAAGCGCCTTTCACAGCACTCAAGGACGACTTACAAGACAGGCAAAAATGTATCCATACATCATATAGTCAAATAAATCACTCATATACAGTAATAAGTTAATAAAATAACTGCACACAGCCCCTGTGAAATGATTATTTCACTACCAGAATTTAATCCATTAGTTCTAATAAAATTTCCAGAAGAGCCACAACATTAAATCATTTTATCACTATTCAAGTTAGCAGAGCTAAACCAGAAGTTAGCCCTAGTTAGCTCTCTGGTATGCCTGCTCTATGGGCCCAACAATGTGAAAGATTTGGGAAATTTAATACCCTCAAAATTGAACTTTTTTGGCTTCACACCACTGAGCAACTTTCATAAGAATGAATAGGGCCCTGTCTCCAACTCTGTATCCAGGTCTCTTTATACATCCAAAGTCCATCCATCCATTTTTATACGCTTATCCGGGGCTGGGTCTCGGGGGCAGCAGGCTAAGCAAAGCACCTCAGACATCCCTCTCCCTGGCAACGCTTTCCAGCTCCTCCTGAGGGACTCCAAGGTGTTGCCAGGCCAGATGAGATATGTAATCCCTCCAGTGTGTTCTGGGTCTGCCCCGGGGCCTCCTACCAGTGGGACGTGCCCAGAACACCTCTAACAGGAGGCGCCCAGGAGGATCCTGATCAGATGCCCGAGCCACCTCAACTGACCCCTTTTGATGCAAAGGAGCAGCGGCTCTATTCCAAGCTCCCTCCGGATGTCCGAGCTCCTCCCCCTATCTGTAAGGCTGAGCTCAGCCACCCCACGGAAGAAACCATTTCCACCGCTTATATCCGCAAACTCATTCTTTTGGACACTACCCAGAGCTCATGACCATAGGTGAGGGTTGGGACGTAGATGGACCAGTAAATCAAAAGCTTTGCTTTCCGGCTCAGCTCCCTCTTCACCACGAGGGACCGGCGCAGCGCCCGCATCACTGCAGAAGCCCCGCCGATCCATCTCACGCTCCATTCTACCCTCACTTGTGAACAAGACCCCGAGATACTTGAATGCCCTCGCTTGAAGCAGTAACTCTACCCTGACCTGAAGAGGGCAATCCACTGGTTTCCGACAGAGAACCATGGCCTCAGACTTGGACGTGCTGACTCTCATCCCAACCACTTCACACTCAAACAGCCCCAGTGCATGCTGGAGGTCACGGTGTGATGGAGCCAACAGAACCACATCATCTGCAAAGAGCAGAGATGCAATTCTGAGGTCCCCAAACTGGACCCCTTCCTCCCCCGGCTGCGCCTCGAAATCCTGTCCATGACATCCTGTACATCCAAAGTATCTCACTTATTACAGTCACAGTGCTTATCAGACTGCAGATTTGATTGGCTCAGCAGCATTTACATGAGTCAAGCCATGCAACTGGTCTGTGAGTATTCTGGTCGCTAAACCAGTACTAGAAATGCTGCACCGGTTAAAACAGAAACTGTAATTCTCAGTAATTTCTAGGTTATATGTCAGGGTCCAGATCCAGGAGATGGGGAGTGCATTTTGGTCATTTTGCTAACAGGCATGACGTGCCCCCCCCCCTCGTCACCTCTCACATCGCCAACTGATCTTTTATTTTTAATTTTTTTAATTTTAAGAAGCCAAACAACATCAGGCAAAGGGACTGCTGATGAAAGCTGGCCTCGGAGCTAACACAGTTGCATTTACATTTGTTTCAGTGTTGATTAATGAACATTGTTTCTTTTCAAGTAAAAAATAAATTAAAACAAATTAAATAGAAGATCAACTAATCAACTAATCCTTGCAGCTTTGATATAGAGTCCTTAAGAATCTCAGAATCTAGAAACAAAAAGTAACTGCTCACAATCCCAAAATGCACTATAGATGTGAAATTTACTGTTGTTTCAAACAATGAATCATACTCATTCCAAGGTGCAACTTTCTAAGAAAAATAAAAACATTATATCATAAATAACTGTGATATAATTATGTGCAAAATCCTTTTGAGGCAGGAAAATTAAAGTGTACATTGTTGTTTACACTGTAAATATATGCTACATAAAGATGTAGAGATCATTGCCAAAAACTTTGAAGAGGCAAAATAATGCAAGAAGTGTGCACTATAAAAGAACTTCACAGATGGAGCAGTTAACACAGAGAGCACAGTGGATTCAGAGCACTCCATTATAAGTTAAACTCATAAATTTACACCAGTAAATTTTAGACGTTTTGATTGTATAATGTATTTAGATATTCAACCACAGACTGTAGGCCTCACATCTAACAAAAATTTTCAGAGTGTAAATGCTCTAATGAGTCCATATACAGCTGGTGTCGGAGCCCTTAATGGAGAAATATAATGGAAATAACAAAACTTACCTTCAATCAGAATCAGCTGAACGCCGCTGTCTCACCTCCAAGGCATTACTAATCGAGTCTTGATGAAGCAACCGCTGCAAATCGAGCACAGATAAAAGGTGTAATGAGCTCCATACGGACTGTGTATTAAAATTTATACCAAGCCAGCAAATTTTTATCTGTTACGTTGGCTCATTTGAACACCATCATGTTTTATGAGCCCTCGTATGTTTTACATGTTGAAACCTGCCAAGATACGGATGTAACGGCTGGTATCAATGTAGCTGTGTTAAAGGATAAGTCTGGAGTTATTCTGTGTTTTTTAATTGTCAACAAATCCCATTAAAAAACCACAAAGTGTCTGATTCTCAATAGTTAATGACTTTCCTACTCTGTGGCACTCAGCCTCAAGCCCACTGGTTTCTACTAATAATGTAAAAGTTTAAAAAGGTCACAAAGATCCATCCATTTTCATCCGCTTATCCGGGGCCAGGTCAAGCAAAGCATCCCAGACGTCCCTCTCCTCAGCAACACTTCCCAGCTCCTCCAGGAGGAGCTTCCCAGCTCCTCCAGGAGGAGCTGGGAAGTGTTGGGAAGTGTTGCTGAGGAGAGGGACGTCTGGGATGCTTTGCTTGACCTGGCCCCAGATAAGCCCTGGCCCTCCTACCAGTGGGACGTGCCCGAAACACCTCCAGCAGGAGGCGCCCAGGAGGATCCTGATCAGATGTTGAACCACCTCAACTGAACCCTTGCGACACAAAGGAGCAGCGGCTCTACTCTGAGCTCCTCACCCTATCTCTAAGGCTGAGCCCAGACACCCCACAGAGGAAACTCAATTCGTATCCAAGATATCATTCTTTCGGTCACTACCCAGAGCTCATGACCGTAGGTGAGGGTTGGGACGTAGATGGACCAGTAAATCGAATGCTTTGCCTTCTGGCTCAGCTCCCTCTTCACCACGACAGACTGGCGCAGCACCTGCATCACTGCAGAAGCCGCACCAAACCGCCGATCATTCTCACGCTCCATTCTACCCTCACTCACTCGTGAACAAGACCCTGAGATACCTGAACTCCCTCGCTTGAGGCAGTAGTTTTTACTTCTGTAGTTTTTACGAAATGTCACTCAGACAGGAACACATGGTGCATTTATTGGGGACTACTTTTAGTAGTGGATTAATACACATTTGGTGTGATGTAATGTGTTAATAAGTGAGCTTTAGAGGTGCTAGTAGGCAGATTTTGTTACCGAATCAGGCTAGCTGTTTCTCCCATTTTCCAGTCTTTATGCTAAGCTAAGCTAACCGGCTTTGTATGGAACAGACAGACATAAGACTGGTATAAATCTTTTCATGTAACTGTCTTTAAGAAAATAAATAAATGCTTTTCTCAATATGTTGAACTATTCCTTTAAAAGACAGAAAGACAATAAGGACTGTGGCCTAAAATCTGACTTAGCAGATTTGTTATGAACTTAAACTGAATCCTATTTTCCTGTCTTCACCTAAAACAATGCTCTCTGTCTTTCTCCGACTTTGTTGTCTTTGAAGCATGTGGGCTGCGATAACATCCTGAGCTCTGATGCTAAAGAAGATCGCTGCCGTGTGTGTGGAGGGGATGGCAGCACTTGTGAGGCAACAGAGGGACTCTTCAATGACTCTCTGCCCCGAGGAGGTAAAACATACCCGACTCCAGGCATGTTGTTTTTACGATGAGAGACTTAGATACTCTGTTATCTCAGGTTTCTGTTCGATCTCCATTCATGTATTCAACAGCAGCTTTTAGGCTTCTTTGATTCACTCAGTGTGAAGAGGACGAACAGAGAGGGAGCACATGCAACAGTTTTAAAAGATAGTCTGGATTTTTTAATGTGGGGTTGTTAAGGTACTTATCCATAGTCAGTTTGTTACCTTCAGTAGATGACAGTTGGCATGCTCCCAATTTGGAGAAGCAGACAGGAGTACAGCTGAGAAGCTAAGAAATGTACTGCTTTGGACAGGGCAACAACAAAACAAAATTTAGCCACCTAAAAAAATCAATATCATTTTAAGTGTACGCTATATTGAGAATATTTTCACGGCTTTACCTCGCTGCTAGACAGCCTTTTCCTGACAGGAAACTAAGGGTGCTTTCAGACCTAGAGTAGTCTCCTTTGGTCTGAATCGGGGACTCATGTTGTTCCAAAGTTGTATAATTGCCTAGAGTTGGTTCGTGTTCTCACGGCAGCATTTACAAGAGGACCAGATCAAATGACTTGTGTGAGAAAGCTGCTCTTGATTGGTCAGAATTTCCATGTGGGAAAAATCCAGGAAGTAAAGCAAACGTTGAAGAAGAGTACACTTGCAAGATAAATGTGACACTTTCTAATGTCACAATGGAGGGACAACTACGCAGGTTGATTTTAGCGCTGCTCATCGTGGACTATATTGCTGTCAATGTTCATTTTAGTCAAAACATACAGTTTGAAAACGAGGCGCGGCTCCAACTAGAAAACAATGTTATGATGCATTGGATGTGCTGAATGTGCATATTAAGGCAGTACAGGAGGAGGTGCACATTAATAATCCTCCAGGACTGTAACATGCTCATGTTTAACCCAAACAATGTGTCATGTGACTGCAGTTGCTTCACATCCAGGTCGGAACACCTTCTCACCACAAACCAACCGCACCAGAGTTCCTTTGGAACCGGACTGAGACCACCTCTTCAAGAAGGTCTCAGTCCGGTTGTTTTGGTGCACACCTGAGTGTGACTGCTGTGTTCACACCTGCCCAAACGAACCACACTGAGGGGGCAAATGGACTTGAGTTAGATTGAACTGAACCAAACAGGGCAGGTGTGAAAGCACCCTAAAGCCATTGTCTAAGCTCAAAACCACCAGACTCCATAGACAAAAACAGTAATTTTACCTTGCTGAACACAGGAGTTGCTGGTCTACCAATTGTTGAGTTTGTTTGAGTTATTGTTGGACTTCAGTGTTTTAAAGGTTTAGTTTGGATTCACTAAAGCAGTCACTCCAGATTTCGTGGTCTGTTTGTTTTGGTTTTCTTTTGCCCGATTTGTTTGCAACTTTTCCAAAAAAAAAATTGCGATACATTTTCCAACGTTTTTCCGGCATATTTTTGCATGTGAAATTACTGACATTTGCAAAAATAGTTGTAAAGCTGTTTCAGATTCAGAGCACACAATAGCATAAAGAAACTACAGATCATGGCAGTGGTAGACCAGCAGCTCCTATGTTCAGTGAGGTAAAATTACTGTTTTTATCAATGGAGTCTGGTGGCCTTAAAGCGAGCATAGATAACGGCTTTATGTTCCCCATTGGAAAGGGCCGTGAAAAGCAGGTAAAGCACTGAAAATAGCGAACACTTAAACTGATATTGATTCTTTTAGGTGACTAAGCATGTTTTACTGCTGTGCCCTTTCATTGCTTTGCTCACTTGGCAATACTCCTGTAGCTTCTCCAAACTGGGGGCGTGCTGACCGCCATCTACTGTAGGTAATAAACCGACTATGAATAAGTGCCTCGTACAACCCCATTTAAAGAAATCTATCCCTTTTAAAGTCACTGGAGATGGCAGTGAAGAAAACAAAGTAACTCATCGCCCTTTTGGCAGAGCAGCTTTTATCCAACACATCCCTGAGGCCAGGCAGATAATCTCTTGCCTTTGTCACCGACCAACAGAACACGTTTTTTGCTGTTTAGATCTATGTTGTCAGTATACAGATGAAAACATAATATTTTCCCCATTAATTACATCACTGAGTGAAGAAATCCGGAGCAGAGATAGGGACTTGGTGTTGGCTTCAGCCTGAGGTTGTCTATAGAGAGCAGGAGAGTGAGAGAGAAAACATATTTCTCCTTCTATGGTATGGCTAGTAAACCATCTAAAAATACAGTGTATCCACGTGTGTGTGTGTGACTGTGAAAAAAAAGGAGGGGATTGTTTTGTCCTCCTGCTTTGTCCTTTTTGGGTGATTCGGAATTTATTCTATATGTCCTCCCTTTGAGTTTGAGAGGGAGAAATACCACCTTAACGATGCCTGTCCTTGTCCTCCAGGCTACATGGAGGTGGTTCAGATCCCAAAAGGGTCGGTTCACATTGAGATCAAAGAAGTTGCCATGTCGAAGAACTACATCGGTAAGTGGCGGCCTCAAGAATTAATATTTTCAGAGTAATATGTATTTTTATGAGCGTCACAGGTGGCAGTGTCAATCTGCCACACACCTGTGTCCAGGCTGAAGTATCTCATTAACTATTGGATGGATTGCCATTAAATATTGTACAGACATTCATGTTCCCCAGAGGATGAAGCTCACTGACTCTGGCGATCTCTTGACCTTTCCTCCAGTGCCACCATGAGGTTGACTCTTGCTTTTTAGTGAAACATCTCAACAACTATCAGATGGATTGACATGGAATTTGGTGCATATACTCATGGTCCCCAGTGGATCAATTCTAATGACTCATACAGCCAAACATTGTTTTCTCTTTACAAGATGAAGAAGCAACTTTCTAAGCATAATAAAAGTATGTAATGAATAACTGTAAAAGTTACATGCAGAATTATTTCAGTTTAAATCAAAGTACTCTACAAGATAAACTCCTGCACTCACAAATTTATGTATTCATGGTCCCCAGAGGATGACTCATAATGACTTCAGTGATCCCTTGGCATTTCCTCTAGCGCCAACATGAGGTCTACGTTTTTGTTTTTTAAATAACTCAACATCTCCTAGATAGACATGAACACAATTTTTTACAGACATTCATGTTCCCCAGAGGATGAAGCTCATTGACTTTAGTGATCCCTTGGCTTCTTGTATCACTGGCAGGAAGTCAACAATTGATGTTTTATGTGAAATGTCCTGACAACTATTGGATGGATAGCTGTGACATTTGGTACAATGATTCATGTTCCCCAGAGGATGAAGCAGATCCCTTGACATTTCCTCTTGTGCCATCAGCAGGACCCAAAATATTTCAGAGGATGAAGCTCACTGACTTTAGTGATCCCTTGGCCTTCTCTGTATCACCAGCATGAAGTCAACATTTTATGTTCTAAGTGAAATGTCTTGACAACTATTGGATGGATTGCTGTGAAGTTTGGTACAATTCATGTTCCCCAGAAGATGAAGCTGATCCCTTGAAATTTCCTCTAGTGCCACCAGCAGGGCCAAAAATATTTAGCTGTTCAGAGAAATATCTAAATTCTGCTAAATAGATTTGGTGTTTTATGTCTTGCCAACTATTGGATGGATTGCTATGACGTTTGGTACAATGATTCATGTTCCCCAGAGGATCAAGGTCATTGACTTTGGTTATTCACTGACTTACTCTAACACCATCATGAGGCTGACATTTTTGTTGTTTGTTGAAATATCTCAGCACTTTTCAAATAAAGTCCCATGCAATTCGGTACATGTATCAGTGGTGCCCAGAGGATGAATCCCAATGACTTTGGTCATCCTCTGACTTCCCTCTAGTGCCACTTTGAGGTTGACATTTATGGTTTTCGGAGAAATACCTCAACAGCCATTGGATGGATTGCTGTGACATTTTGTGCAAATAACTTTTGGATGCATGGCCATTAAATTCCCCAGAGGATGAACCCTAATGACTCCTGTGATCCACTGGTATTTCCTCTAGTGCCATCAGCAGGGTAACGATATATACCCAGTGAAATATATCATCGGATTGGCACACATATCTTACGTAGATGTTTATGGTTCCAGGTTGATGAATCTTAATGACTTCGGCGATCCTTTGACTTTCCCTCGAGCGCCATCCCAAGGTTGACATTTAGTACCTCAACAGCTATTGGGTGGATTGCCATGAAATTGGGTTCATACATTCATATACTCCTCAGAATAATCATCCACTTTGGTTTATAACCAGATACACTGCCATTGAGAAGTTTGGAATCAGATTTTTATTGATGTTTTTCTTCTTTCCTTCAATAACAACGTTATTAGTAGAGATAACCCCCCCCCCCAGTATATTTCATACAATAAATGTATTATTTGAATTAAAATACTTTTGGTTACAAAAGAAGAAGAATGAAATGATTTCAACTTCGATTTCATATTAATTAGTTCTTAACCAAGTTGGTGAACATGGTAAACATTACATGCTAAACATGTGAGTGTTAGCATTGTCATTGTGGGCATGTTAGCATAACGAGTATAGCATTTAGCTCAAAGCACCACTCTGCCTAAGTGCAGCCTCACAGAGGCATTGGTGTGACTGTAGACTCTCTAGTCTTGTTTCACTATCAATCCATCACTCTCAGTAAACCCTGCAGTTCACCACAATGTGATGAATTGCCAATTTATGACATCAAGCTGTTTCATATTATCTGTTCAGCTCTGTGTCAACCACATTTCCAGGGATTTCCTTTGCGTCTTTGTCAAGAGCAAATTAGAAGATGCCATCGTTAAATCTCCCGTTGCCTAACATAAAACCATAAAACTGAGAGAGTCTGTAAAACCTCCCTGAATCTTAACACATGTGATGGCCCTCTTGGCACCAGACTCATCCGCTCTGTTCCAGACTAAACAAAAACTATTTGCAACACTGGCAGTGATGGACCCAAAACAATCAAACAACCGGATTCAATTAAGCCCGTTGTGTGTCTTTTCATTAACAAGAGAAAGACATGTGACAGCGTGTTGAATTTATAGCGGATGGTGTTGATGGAGGGCTTAAGTTACACTTTGAACCGGAGAGCTGCATCAGATTTATAGGGCCGTGGTGACAGCTGCCTGCTCCACCAGGATTATGGGGGATATGATGTCTATATATCAAAGTTTAAAGAGTGCAATTTTGGCTATTGTGTCGGACTAGATTTTCCCCTCCAAGCAATCTGTAATTTTGTTATGAATCTCATCTGTGACCCCAGTGATAAAGATAATATTTTTCTTTTGCAGCATTGTCTGGGTCCCTGCTATTTAGGTCAGCAACGTTTTAATGTTTGATTAAAGCAAAAACTGAGTGAGACAATATAAAAATAGAGAGCGGGCTGCCTGCGGAGACTTGTGTAAACTGCTCTGTTCAAAATAACAAAATCACAATGCTCACAATCAGTGCCAGATGTGCTGAAAATGAATTTATTGAGAAGGGGATTGTGATATTTTAAAGAGGAGTAAGCTATTGTTTGAGGGAGGGAAGAGAGGGGAATCTGTACAAGCACGAGCCAGAGAGACAGAATAGAGAGCGGTTGGATCGTTTCTCCTGAATTTGGCCTCATTTCAACACAGAGAAAGTGGATATTTTCAGATCTGTTGTGCTTGGAGACCAACTTTTGTTTTGACAACCAGACAGAGTGGTATTCATGAGGTTCGTCCAGGCTTTCACCTGAAGTGTGTTTTCTTTCTCGTCCTAAATTAGACGTATGTACATGTCGGTGCACGTGAACGTCTGCGTTTATAGTGTGTGTACACAGGCACGTGTGTGTGTTTCTTCTCAGAGAGTTGTCAGTGACATCAGGGGAGGCTGAAAATGATGATGATGATGATGAAGTTGAAGGACGGCAATGACATCACACGAAATGATTGTCTCCACCTGTTGTCCCGGCTACCGTTCCTGTCTGCTTTTGATTTCAGCTCTCTGAAAGTGTTTCTTGTTCTCTGTGATGACGCAGCTCTGAAGTCTGAAGTGGATGATTATTACATCAACGGAGCGTGGACCATCGACTGGCCCAGGAAGTTTGACATCGCAGGGACGGCCTTCCACTACAAGAGACCCTCTGATGAACCAGAGTCTTTGGAGGCGCTGGGAGCTACCACTGAAAACCTAATTGTCATGGTAATACATTAGTGTCAAAATCACACCTTTTTTTTTGCCCCAAAGTTGTACAAGTAGGACGAGCAGCTGGTCCTGAAAGTAATTTTCCCTGGTATGTTTCTATCTGAAAGTTTCCTTTTAACAATATCCTCAGTATTCCATATAGATAACAAAGAAACACAGCAGTCTCTTGGGAAAATTAATCTGGCAATGCCCCATTTTTTGGCCACTTTTGCACTGACATGAGGAACTTGTTGGCAAACAGTTACTCATTTACACATCCAGCAGTCACAGAGCAACATTATCATTTATTTGAAGATATGTTTGTGGCCATCTGATGAATGTAAGTCCAATATTCACTCTCTTTTAGCTCTGTTTTTTGATCTTTGCCAACTCCTCACGGAAACATCTGGCTCTTTAGCAGCTAAATACTCCACTATGTTCACCAGCTAGTTGCTAACTGTGTCTGTCCATTGCGGTGAGTTTGAACCAAAACAGTTAAGTTCTGGGCCATATGCGCCAGAATACACTGCTTGAGCAGTTTGCACCCTTTAGCGTCCATATAAGATGCACCAAGCTTTCACAAGTTCCAATGTAAACCTATCTGCATCGTTATTTGACGTTCAGAGCAACAGACATGGTAGAAAGAGTGTGACACATCTGTTGCAGTGTGAGGGCCTCTATAAACAAATGGAGCAGCTCCATTTACCATGGAAGCCACCCTTGCATCGCATGGCTCTTTTTGGCTGTGTGGGCAGGTGGTAGGGTCTAACAAACACAGGACTTGGACCCATGAGATTGGTGTTTGTGTCCCATAGGAGTTGTTTTGTTATGTCAGTCGTTAATCAGTCTTTTTGTAACCCTTGAACCCAGTTCAGGCCAAAGATGTGCAACAAGACAAGTTAAAACAGGCAACTACTTGCAATGCACCGTTCTGCACCGTTCTGCAACGTTCTTAAAACCTGCTGGTTGACAGGAAGTGACCACGATGAGACGATGTATCATCTCTAGTCAGCAACTCTCTGTACTTCTGATCTGATTTGCAGCTTTTCAGACTTATTTTGTGGCTGAATATAATTTGTAGCTTCTTAAAATCTGGATGAGGATAGTGATAGTAAGATACTGGCTACAGTGATGAAACAAACCAGCATCAGATGGACTGTATTCATAATCAATACGCCAAAATAATATAAATAACCAGCGCCAATTTATCAGTCAGTGAGAATGTGTGTGGGCGGGCAGCAGTGACCCACTTCTGACACCGGTACACGTTGATTTGGCCAGCTGAGGTGCAGGTTTGAGTCGAGCTCAGACGGGCCAGTTCACACTGCTACAACTTTTCACTGCAACGCTCTAAAACAGTTTTGTCTCGTCAAAAATTATTGGTGTGAACTGGGCTTATCTGGAAAGATTTGTTACCGAAACCTAACTGCCAACTCTTAGTCACAAGAGTCGACACACTCTGCAACAGAAAACAATGCAGAAGGTTTCCTCTGGCATCATTATATTAACGCCCAAGCGTCAATGTATGACAAGCAGGGATGAGACCATGTTGTATGCAATGAGCTGCAACTCAGTTTAAAGCTCCGTAAAGCCGAGAGGAGCTGCGGATTCAGATTCTCTGTAGGTACATCAGTATCAGAGACACTTATACATTCTTGTCACATTATCATCCCGTACATTGTTGCTATAAAACTGTAGATTCTTTAATGACAATATAGATCGAATTATTTCAGTCTTGTTTCTTAGAAGTCACGTTTTTTTCCTGTTAGTCTGGCATGCAGACACGAGTGGGAGTTTAACTTCCTGAAACTTGGACACCAGAAATAACTCATCTTACTCTGTAGTTATTCCTGTGCATTTTATGTTGTATGTATGCTGCTGGTCTGAGTCTACCCACATTCCACTCATACATCTAGCTGCTAACCTTAGGTGACCGTAAGCCAGCGGTTTGGGGTTAAAAGCTATGTATATGTAGATGTACTGTATATATTTATATATATAAAGAATCTGTCACTTGATTTAGAGAGCATCTGTGTCGCTGTGCAGGAGTTTGCTCGTGCATGTTAAGTCGTGCGAGTGCCCTTTTTCTTTTTTTTTGCAATGACAAGGTTCTCTGCATATTTGTGTGTTTGTGTGTTCATGTGAGGCAACGGAGCATTTTCTTGTTGTAATACTCGGTGGTTTCTGCCTCGACATGAATGCTGAAAATACCAGACCACACAGCACCACTGGAATAGACGAGCAACTGGCCACTCGGCCACTGGCCATTTCTCTGCGGCTTACAAAGCCAGACTCCCTCAGTCTGCCTCTGCATCCAGCAGACTAATATAAACCCACCAGAGACGCACTGATCCAGACTGTTCAAACTGCATTAAAGATGCTATAAGCCAGCATTTTACATTAATAATGTTTCACATAATGAGTGATGTGAGAGGGTTAGGGGGCAAAGGCAAAGAGCAAGTTAGAGACGAGCTGGTGAACATAGCGGCGCTTTTAACAGATGAACAGACAGATATTTGTCTCAGGAGTTGGTAGAGACCCAAAACAGAGCTAAAAGATAGTGAATATTAGACTAATAGTAATACTCTACCTACAAAATGATCATTTGTATACCAGTTACTCACCCCATGTTACGCTGAATTCATGAAGACTGTTTGCATGTTTCCACTGTAAAAGAAGAATCCAAAACTGGAGAAAATTCTTGATGAAAGCATGTGTTTGGGAAGTTGTTAAATCCGCCCCCCTTCACTTCAATTAATCAGCAGTGTTTGCTGTTTTTGGATTCTTCGTTCCCTGTGCACACCCAATTCAAGATAACACAGGATGAGTAACTGATATACAAATGGTCATTTTGTGGGTGAAGTATTCCTTTAAATCTGTCAGTTGCCCAGAAACACGACTCCAAATCATTTCTAATGTTTCTCAGTTCAATGCGTGAATGAGCAACTGCCTGCTAACAAGTCTGCTGTATCAACTTTATGGGGTGTTAATATGTTAATGTGTGTTTACAGCTTGTCACAATGCTCCCGAGTGACCCCCTGAAAAAAAAAATCAATCTACGCAACTTAAATAACAAGACGTAACACAGAATTTGACTACATGAACCTTCTTCCCTCTATTTTTCTATTTCTGTTCTCACCCTCTGTTTGCATCTTCCTCTACAGGTCCTGCTTCAGGAACAGAACATGGGAATTCGCTACAAGTTCAACGTGCCCATCCAGCGCACAGGAAGTGGTGACAACGAGGTGGGCTTCTCCTGGCACCACCTGCCTTGGTCTGAATGCTCAGCTACCTGCGCTGGAGGTAAGTCAGCACTGAAAGCCCGGTAACTTTCCTCTCTGCTCCTCTGGACTTTGAATGGACACAGAAACACAGCTGTAGCCTTTCCAGGAACGTCAGGGTGTTCAGTTTAACTTTTCACACAAAGGTTAAAGGTATAGAGTGCAGGATTTTTCTAAAAACAATGTAACAATGTGTTGCCAGACTGCAAGCAGCATGTATCCAAGAGGAAGCTATGAAAATCATGAACACAGCACCGAAAAAACACAAATATAGCAAGGTGAAAAAACGGCAAGTGGACAAAGCTTAATCAAAAATGAGAGTGAATCTTGGGTCAGCTTTCACTTCCACTATCGCTGGCAATACTGTTTACAAACTGACAGGAGACCAACAATTCCTGTATAGAATAGCTTTAAACTTTTCAAGGATGGTCTGAGGAATGTGACTAAGAGCTCAAGGCCTCAACCTGGCCTCAGAATTCCTCAGATCCCAATTTGATTGAGCATCCGTGGGATGTGCCGATACCCCAGAACTCCTGGGTAGAGTTCTCAACAGGCTGAAAAAAATTAACCCAAACTGAATTGACTCGCGTGAGTTGAAGCCCAAACTCTGCCCGTTTGAGATCACCACATAAAATAGTCTGAGTTTTCTGAGTCTGAGCCGGACCAAACCCCTCCAAAAGTACTCGTCGGCTTCTAACACCCAGGACTCACTGGTTGTGTGGTGGCGCAAGCCACGCATGTCTCCAGTAGAAAATGGACCAGCTCAGTGGATCACCGACTCTCCACACGTATTTCCTCACCATAGAAGCTCCCTCCTTTTTTGTTGTATCCCCACAGCCCAAATCCAACCCAATCCAGCCAATCTGCGAACATTTTCGGCCCCAACCTGGTCAGACCTGTCAGGCTTTTCAGGACTCAGGTTGAGAGCTCTAGTCCTGTGTCCATGCCTCAGTAGGTCAGAAACGAGTCCAATCCAAAGAGGCCCCACTGTGGATCGGGGCTACCTCAGTACGTCCCATGAATGCTCAGTCAGATTGGTCAGGTTGATGCCTTGAGCTCTTGGTCACAATCCTCAGGTCGTTCCTGAGCAGTGTTTGCAGTGTAGCATGGTACAATGGATGAGTGTTGTCTCCATGAGGGAGCGTACTTGGTCTGCAACAGCGTTTAGGTGGGTGGAGCACATCAAGTGGCATCCACATGAATACTGTGACCAGACATTTCCCAGCAGAACATTTCACTGTAACAGGATGATGAGTGTTATTCACTTCACCCACCAGTGGTTTTAATGTTTTGGCTGATTGGTGTGTAATGTCAATCCAATCATCAACTGTAGCCATTTCTGGTTTCAGCCACTCTCTAGTGATGGCTCTCCTGCTGGCTGTGTGTTACGTGGTTACACGGTAATCACTGCTAACATTTTATCATTT